AAAACTTTTAAAACTATTAAAACTATTAAAAAGGCTTCTTTTTAATAGTTTTAATAGTTTGGGAGGCTTTTTAAAAGTTGAAACTATTAAAACTATTAAAACTATTAAAACTAAAAAGTTTTAATAGTTTTATAGTTTTAAAAGTAAAACTTTTAAAACTATTAAAACTATTAAAACTATTAAAACTATTAAAAAGTTTCTTTTTAATAGTTTTAATAGTTTGGGAGGCTTTTTAAAAGTTGAAACTATTAAAACTATTAAAACTATTAAAACTTAAAAAGGAAAAGGCCTGGCCTGGAGATTCCCGAACTTTTAAAACTTTTAAAACTTTTAAAACTATTAAAACTATTAAAACTATTAAAACTATTAAAAAGGATTCTTTTTTATAGTTTTAATAGTTTGGGAGGCTTTTCAAAAGTTGAAATTATTAAAACTATTAAAACTACTAAAACTTAAAAAGGAAAAAGCCTGGCCTGGAGATTCCCGAACTTTTAAAACTTTTAAAACTATTAAAACAATTAAAACTATTAAAACTATTAAAACTATTAAAACTATTAAAACTATTAAAAAGGCTTCTTTTTAATAGTTTTAATAGTTCGGGAGGCTTTTTAAAAGTTGAAACTATTAAAACTATTCAAACTATTAAAAAGAAGCCTTTTTAATAGTTTTAATAGTTTTAATAGTTTTAATAAGTTTTAATAGTTTTAAAAGTTCAGGAATCTCCTGGCCAAGGCCGTTTCTTTTTAATAGTTTTAATAGCTTAGGAGGCTTTTTAAAAGTTGAAACTATTAAAACTATTAAAACTATTAAAAAGAAACCTTTTTAATAGTTTTAATAGTTTTAATAGTTTTAATAGTTTTAAAGTTTTAGTTTTAATAGTTTCAAAAGTTCAGGAATCTCCTGGCCAAGGCCGTTTCGTTTTAATAGTTTTAATAGTTTCGGCCCCTTTTTAAAAGTTGAAACTATTAAAACTATTAAAACTATTAAAACTTAAAAAGGAAAAGGCCTGGCCTGGAGATTCCCGAACTTTTAAAACTTTTAAAACTATTAAAACTATTAAAAGGCTTCTTTTTAATAGTTTTAATAGTTCGGGAGGCTTTTTAAAAGTTGAAACTATTAAAACTATTAAAACTATTAAAAGAAGCCTTTTTAATAGTTTTAATAGTTTTAATAGTTTTAATAGTTTTAATAGTTTTAAAAGTTCAGGAATCTCCTGGCCAAGGCCGTTTCTTTTTAATAGTTTTAATAGCTTAGGAGGCTTTTTAAAAGTTGAAACTATTAAAACTATTAAAACTATTAAAAAGAAACCTTTTTAATAGTCTTAATAGTTTTAAAAGTTTTAATAGTTTCAAAAGTTCAGGAATCTCCTGGCCAAGGCCGTTTCGTTTTAATAGTTTTAATAGTTTCGGCCCCTTTTTAAAAGTTGAAACTATTAAAACTATTAAAACTATTAAAACTTAAAAAGGAAAAGGCCTGGCCTGGAGATTCCCGAACTTTTATAACTTTTAAAACTATTAAAACTATTAAAACTATTAAAAAGGCTTCTTTTTAATAGTTTTAATAGTTTGGGAGGCTTTTTAAAAGTTGAAATTATTAACACTACTAAAACTATTAAAACTTAAAAAGGAAAAAGCCTGGCCTGGAGATTCCCGAACTTTTAAAACTTTTAAAACTATTAAAACTATTAAAACTATTAAAACTATTAAAACTATTAAAAGGCTTCTTTTTAATAGTTTTAATAGTTCGGGAGGCTTTTTAAAAGTTGAAACTATTAAAACTATTAAAACTATTAAAAAGGGCAAAATTTGGCCAAATCGAGCCGCGCATTTCTCATCGCGTACGACGAGCAGCCCGATTTGGCCAAATTTTGCCCGGAGCCTGCCCGGCAAAATTTGGCCAAATCGAGCCGCGCCTTTCTGGAGGCCCGGAATTATTTCATTGTTTTTTTTATTTTTATTATTTACATAATTTAAATAGTTTTGGGCCTCCAGAAAGGCGCGGCTCGATTTGGCCAAATTTTGCCGGGCAGGCTCCGGGCAAAATTTGGCCAAATCGGGCTGCTCTTCGTTATGCGATGAGAAATGCGCGGCTCGATTTGGCCAAATTTTGCCCGGAGGCTGCCCGGCAAAATTTGGCCAAATCGACCCGCGCATTTCTCATCGCGTACGACGAGCAGCCCGATTTGGCCAAATTTTGCCCGGAGCCTGCCCGGCAAAAATTGGCCAAATCGAACCGCGCCTTTCTGGAGGCCGGAAATTATTTAATTGTTATCGCGTACGACGAGCAGCCCGATTTGGCCAAATTTTGCCCGCAGACTGCCCGGGAAAAATTGGCCAAATCGAGCCGCTAGTTTTTAATAGTTTGGGAGGCTTTTTAAAAGTTGAAATTATTAAAACTATTAAAACTATTAAAACATAAAAAGGAAAAAGCCTGGCCTCCAGATTCCTGAACTTTTAAAACTTTCAAAACTATTAAAACTATTAACAAGGCTTCTTTTTAATAGTTTTAATAGTTCGGGAGGCTTTTTAAAAGTTGAAACTATTAAAACTATTAAAACTACTAAAAAGAAGCCTTTTTAATAGTTTTAATAGTTTTAATAGTTTTAAAAGATTTAATAGTTTTAAAAGTTCAGGAATCTCCTGGGCAAGGCCGTTTCTTTTTAATAGTTTTAATAGTTTAGGAGGCTTTTTAAAAGTTGAAACTATTAAAACTATTAAAACTATTAAAAAGAAACATTTTTAAAAGTTTTAATAGTTTCAAAAGTTCAGGAATCTCCTGGCCAAGGCCGTTTCTTTTTAATAGTTTTAATAGTTTCGAAGCCTTTTTAATAATTGAAACTATTAAAACTTAAAAAGGAAAAGGCCTGGCCTGGAGATTCCCGAACTTTTAAAACTTTTAAAACTATTAAAACAATTAAAACTATTAAAACTACTAAAAAGGCTTCTTTTTAATAGTTTTAATAGTTCGGGAGGCTTTTTAAAAGTTGAAACTATTAAAACTATTAAAACTATTCAAAAGAAGCCTTTTTAATAGTTTTAATAGTTTTAATAGTTTTAATAGTTTTAAAAGTTTTAATAGTTTTAAAAGTTCAGGAATCTCCTGGGCAAGGCCGTTTCTTTTTAATAGTTTTAATAGTTTAGGAGCCTTTTTAAAGTGTAAACTATTAAAAATATTAAAACTATTAAAACTATTAAAACTTAAAAAGGAAAATTAAAGTTTTAATAGTTTAGGATGTTGTTTTGAAAGTTCAAAACTATTAAAACTATTAAAACTTTAATACAGAAAGCAGCCATGTCAAATAGTACATAGAGGTTCCTCTTACATATATATATATATATATATATACATGGAGAGAGATCTCTGCATACAATAAAACCACTTTGTTCATTTGCAGGTGGAGGGCTTCTATTGGCACGGCGGGTTTGGGGCTTAGGGTCTTGCGATGGGTGGTGACTTTGCCTGTCAAGCTTGAGTTGATGGCCGGGTAACAGGAGCTTCGGCACTGGGTTTATGCAGAGTTTAGGGTTTAGGGTTTAGGATGGGTTTAGGGTTTAGGGTTTGGGGTTATAGGGATTAGGGTTTAGGGTTTAGGGTTTTACACAGAGTTTAGGCTGTTTAGGGCTGAGAGTTTGAAGTGCAACAGGGTCGCCATTTCTTCCGAAACTGAGAACTCGGAGCCTTAAAGGTGCTGCACATCTAGGCCTATGTCTAGGATGCCAAGTAGAACCTTTTTGGGGGGGTTAGGTTCCCTTATAAACCCCTTTAAGCAAAAAAGGGCACCCTTTTTAAGCCTAGGTTACTGGGCAGCCTAGATGTGGGGGTGTACGAAAGTAGGGGACCCTAAACTACTATTTTCTTAAGAACCCCCCCCCCCCCCAATTTTTTTTTTAAATCCCTATATTACCCTTAACCCAGATTTTTTTGATTTTTGGGCTTCTTCAGCAATAAAAAATAGACCCCCCCAAATAGTAGGATTCCCTTGTAATAAGGGCCCCAATACCCTAAACCCTAAACCCTAAACCCTAAACCCGGTACCCCTTAGTTTCGGAAACCCCCATGTGGGTGACTGCGGCTCATGAGTGTTTGGGTTTAGGGTTTAGGGTTTAGGGTTTAGGGTTTAGGGTTTAGGGCTTAGGGTTTAGGGTTTAGGGTTTAGGGTTTAGGGTTTAGGGTTTAGGGTTTAGGGCTTAGGGCTTAGGGTTTAGGGTTTAGGGTTTAGGGTTTAGGGTTTAGTAGTGCGAGGGGACTTCCAATCAAGCACGTATGTTCTTCGGGTGTTGTGATGAATGCACTGCTTCTGCCTGTGCCTGGAGGTTCCTGGGTAGTTATTGGTAGGGTAGTAGGGCACACGCCGCCAACACTTCAACCCGACACCTGTGAAAATGCCCCCTGTACCAGCCGCATAGACGAGTCGGCAGGCAGAGGTTACACAGCAGACCCTGTTAATGTTTTGGGTTTGGGGTTTCGGGTGGGTATTACAGTCCCAAGCCCGCCGGAGATCCTTCTTGCCCAGACACCCTCACTCCCGCGCACCGACACGCAAGCCTCAAAAGCATATCCCGAAACAGGATGCCGGCGTCCAAGGAAAGAAGGAGGCCAGCTGTTTCAGGTAGTTTGCAGCTTTGGTTGTCATAGAGGCTCTAGGTGATTGCGGGGTCTTATGGTTTTTTTTGGGAGGGGTTGGCAAGCTCTTTGGTGGGGCTAGTTGCCGGGTTGCTCTTGAATTCGGGGTGTAGGTCTGGACCACGGAAAAGGGTTCAGGGTTTAGGGTGAAGGGTTGAGGGTCGCGCTTTCTGTTTCAAGGCGTGGCTCATCAAAACTGCTGGATGATCACAGGGCGTTTACCCTCGGGAAAGGCAACTACAAAGGGTCGATGGGCGACATGATATCAATGTAACAGGTTCCTGAGAAGAGCATTGCGTATAAAAGCTTGTAAAATTCCCCAGAAGCAGTAATTCGGAAGTGTGGCCTAGAGCCCAGTACTCTCGACTCCGCTCGCCATGCCTCATTTCCCGGCAGTGCAGGTATCTTGTAAAGGCTGTTCCAGCAAAATCATGCTCGGTTACCCATGACATAGTGTCCGGGGCGCTCCCTCCAAACGGTCGCACGCGTGGGAAGCAGTTCTCGCACTATTTACAAGTCAACACCGCCAGGCAGTTCCCTCGCCTTAAGTCCCCCTGATGTTGGTCCCAAATAATTAGGTCACACCCAAAACCCTATAGGCCCAATAAACCCGAGGCACTGGCTCGAAGCCTAAGCCTAAATTTTGCGAAACCCCGAGCTCATAGTAGAAGCGTAGAAGCCTACGACAGCAGCGGACCCGCGGGGAGGGGGTCTGGAAGAGGGAGGCAAACTTCTCCACGCGGCATCACGCGGCCAGGGCAGACCACAGCGCATTTCCTGTATATCTAAGTCCATAGTTGACACCGCATGACTGGTTTCGGGTATGTAGGGTGTTGAGGGGGGTTTAGGGTTTAGGGTTTAGGGTTTAGGGTTTAGGGTTTAGGGTTTAGGGTTTAGGGTTTAGGGTTTAGGGTTTAGGGGGATCGGTCGGACGTGGCTCAGATGCAAAAGCAGCAGCATCCCCATCCGTCAGAAAAGTCGTGCGTCTGCGTAAGGAGGTTCCCGGATCCCCCGTTAAACAGACCCGACACTCCTAAACCCTCAACCCTAAACCCATAAGGTTTTAGGGATCCGAAACTCCTAAACCCTCAACCCTAAACCCATAAGGTTTTAGGGAGGACTGAGGCGGCAGCCGGGATCCCCCCTAACTCCCGAAACGGTGAAGGCCGACAAACCCTTCACCCTAAAGCCGTAAAGTTCAACCCTTGGTTGGGGAGTCCCGATGAAGAGAAACCGTATAGGGTTTGGGGTTTAGGGTTTGGGGTTTGGGGTTTAGGGTTTGTGTGAGTTAACACGGATCGTCTGCGAGGTGGAAGCGTACCTGAAGCTCCACATCATCTCCCAGAAGAGGGACATGCAGGCCTGGTATGCACTTGGAGGGCGTTTTGGGCCTTAGGTTCCCTTAGAAGTTGCTTTAAACCAAAAAGAGCACCCTCTTTGTTCCTAGGTTAACCCTAGTTAAACCCTAAACCCTAAACTAGTTGCTTTGTCTGTTTCAGCGGTTCGGCTATAGTTTCTGTAGACGAGACTGTTGATGCATGGCTTGCTCGAGCTGCGAGAGTGCAAACGCCTCCTCCCATGGCCTGGTTTAGGGTGTAGGGTTTAGGGTTTAGGGTTTAGGGTTCAGGGTTTAGGGTTTAGGGTTGGGGAACTAGCCAGTCTGAGGAGTGCATGCATGTGCACTCCTCAGACTGGCTAGTTCCCCAGCCCAGTTGCAAATGGGTTTAGGGTTCAGGGTTTAGGGTTTGGGGCCAGGGCTTTGTAGGGTTTTGAGTTTAAGGGCACCCCTAAGCCCCAGTTAGGGTTTAGTTTAGGGTCAAGAGCTTACTCTCTAACACCCTAAGCCCCAAACCCTACTTTGGAGCATGGTAGATAGAGACCCGGCTTGCGGCGCCTAAACCCTAAACCCTAAACCCTAAACCCTAAACCCTAAACCCTGAACCCTACACCCTACACCCTACACCCTACACCCTACACCCTACACCCTAAACCCCAAGCAACCGGTTGAAAGCTGCTTCCTGTCAGGGCCTGGCGCCTTTCCACAACCAGCGAAAGGCACAGATGCTGGGTAGCTCCCTGAACCCTAGCCCGTAAAGCAGCCCTAAACCCTAAACCCTAAACGGGTATAGCCTGCGTAGATTAAGTTCGGGAGTGGTTGCGGTCTCTCCTGTTTATCACTTGACCTTAGGCGACAGCAAGAGCTTTGCACTCTGTAGGGCCAGGGCTTATATGGCTTATCCCCTCATCACTCTTGGCTGCAGGTAGCAGTTAGCTTGGCATTGGCTCGAAACATGTGCCGTAGGGGACTTGTTGCCACGGTATCTGGCAGATACTGAAAACGCCTGTTCCCAAACTCACCCCTAGAATTCCCCGAGCCAACCCCTAGGAACCCTAAGTATCTTCCCAAGAAGGACATCTAGCGGATCTCATGCTCGTAAGCCCTTTTTAAGTCCGAAGCCCGACTGCGGCCCCTTCTCAGGTGGCTAAGGGGGGCATGCAGTACAAACTGGAGGCCCTGTGCTTTGCAAACCCTAAACCCTAAACCCTGGTTTAGGGTTTAGGGTTTTTTTTTTTTTTCTGTTCTTTGCCTCGACTTGCGGTGGGTAGGGACCCGCCGTTCCCTTAAGCAGCCGAGCTTCGGGCTTTGGGGCTTTAGGGCTTTAGGTATTAAGGCTTAGGGCTCAGGGCTTAGGGCTTTTTGGCTTAGGGCTTCGGGCTTAGGGCTTAGTGAAGGCTCCGCTCAACCCCGAAAACAGTTAAAATAAATCTTCCTTATTAAGGGGAATATAGGGATCATGTTGTTTTTTAAATTCTTTTGGTGTTATTCAGCAAATAGTAGTCTGCATGCATCTACAAGCAAGTTGCTAGCCGAAATAGGTACTCTTCCTACCTACTTGCAAAAGTGGGGGTTCTCAGCTTGTCGAGTTGCAAAGCGGGCATTCTCACGTCGATAATGCTGTCATTGGTTGTAAAGTGGGTGTGCTCTGGTTGTAAAGTGGGCTTCTGGGTGTCAACTGGCTCAGTCACCCCCGGCCCGACCCCGTGACCAAAGCCCGCTAACGCGCTTTCTCTGGCACGCAAGGGCAACAACGAAGGACGACAACCTTGCACCCAATACTTTTAGGAACAAAACTCCCTCAGGCCCCTTGAACACGCTAAACCCTAAACCCTTTAACCCTACGTACATGCCAGGTCTGCATGGTCTCAGCAGATGGCTTGAGGAGTGCAGATTGGATGAGCCAGTCATCGGATCCGTATTGCATCTGCAAGGCCACCCGATCTGAGCACCAGTAAAATTTAGGGCTTAGGACTTAGGGTTTAGCAAAAGGGCAAAGGTTTAGGGCTTAGGGCTTAGGGCTCGTGGAGGGCTTAGGGCTGAGGACTAATCTAAGGTTGGAACCATGGGCCCTTAGTATGGTCCCTTACCCTTGTTTAAAGGGATTCAAAGGGATCCGAAGTATTGGCCCTGATTATGCACGGGGTATATCACAGGGAACCCAAATTAAGGGCCCATACTTCGGATCCCCCAAGCCCTAAACTCTAAACCCTAAGCCTTAAATTAAGGGTTGAGGGTTTTGGGAGAAGTCCTAAACCAGCTTTTCTGTCCTAACAGCCTCCAGGCCTCGCCAAGTAGCCAGCAGGGTTTTAGGGCTCAGGGTTAGACCCCTAAACCCCAAACCCTAAACCCCAAACCCTAAGCCCTAAACCGCCTAGATATCGCATCTTGCTAATAACTTAAAGGTGCGTTGCTCTAACTTTCAGGGTCTAGGGTTTAGGGTTTAGGGATTAGGGTTCAGGGAGGCCTGGATGTAACAGGTGTAGGGCTCAAGTTGGGCGAGCTATCGCTGAACCTAAATTTGCCGCAAGAGAATTGTTTAGGGTTTAGGGTTTAGGGTTTAGGGTTTAGGGTTTAAGGCCTACAAAGGTTTATCTTCAGAACCGCTCTCCCACGGTGTTCTTGCTTCGTGCTATAGCCATAAGAGTACGAAAAACCCGTTGGCGCCGTAGAATAGAAGTTTAGAGTTTGAAGGAACCTTCTGGCATCTGAAGGTTTCGGGCAATGGAAAGGGGGGCCTATCGGTGCCGTCTCCAACTGGAAGGGCTTTATGCTTTAGCGAGGAAATATGCGAAACTAGTAGCCTTCGGGTTTAGAGTCTCGGGCTTGTAGGCGTAGTGGTGGTGAACGCACTAGGGGCCCACAATTTGGGACGACTGGCCAGCCGAGGTCAAGGGGAAGGGCACGACCTCCATCCGAACAAAGGTGGTGTCGAAGGACCTGAATCCTGTGCAGCCGGCCCAGACTGTTCTTTTTGGCTAAGCTGCCGCTTGAACCCTAAACCCTAAACCCCGCACAAAACATGCTGAAGATTTGTCAGCTGGACCTTTCCCGGCCCAGAACTGTCGCAAGTTTCCGGCAGATGCCTTGCTGGGGTGCGCTATGGCCTTTTGCCAGTAGACTCCGAAACCTCACCTCCGAAACGACCTGTTGCTTCAATCCTACGCCCATGGCGCCTTTTCCCTGCCTGCTCGAACAAAGGTGGCAGCACAAAGAGGTCATCGAAGATTTCTATCATGGCGATGCCCTGCTTTTTACAGTGCCTCAGCTCGGTTCAGGTCGAATCCTGTGACCAACCCTGAACCCTAAACCTAAACGCCTTAAACAAATCTAAAACATGTGACTCTTTGGAGTAAACCCTAATTAACCCGTAACCCCGAAACCCTGAACCCTGACCTCCCCCCCCCCCCCCCCACCGCAACATTCACTGTATAGGAGGGCCTGGTTGACGCTCTCACCTGGGCGCCCCACGCCGCGGGATTTGGGGGCCACGGTTGTCATGGTAAAAACCCACTGGAATGTTCATGGGTAGTTTTAAGTAGGGTTGTAAGTACCCTAACTTAGTAGCTGAATGAGTGCACTTTACACTTCTTGGGATACCAAACTCCCCTGTAGAACTGAAAGTGTACACTTTTCTGGATCTTTCCGGGGGGCTTATGAGCTGAGCACGTAAGCTAATTACGGGTCATGATTTAGGTTACCTTACTCTTTTGCCCCAAGAAGCTTAAACATGATCGTCCCTCTATTACCCTTACAAGTAAGGATATCTTTATTCTCTGAGGGGTTCTGAAGCAATTAGTAGTACCTTATGTATAGCTGGCCGTGCGACTGCATGCGCGTGCTCCATGTGTAGCGGGCCCTTGATCGGGGCCTTCAGTGGTTCCTTGCGGGAAAAGGCGGGACCTCCCCTAAACCCTAAACCCTAAACCCTAAACCTTAAACCCTAAACCCTAAACCCTAAACCCTAAACCAGCATACTGTTAGGGTTTAGGGCTTAGGGTTTCGTGGGTGACAAGAACTTGAGCCGAAAGGGCAACAATCAAGGGCAGCTAGAAACGCAGTTCGGGTTTGCGACATGCGAGCTAAAGCTTGTTTCAATTCGTTTGTGAATCACAGCAAGTACTTGGGTGAAGGTTTGAGAATTGACGACGACAAAACAGAAGTACTCAAAAGTTAAAGCCGAACACCCTAAACCCTACTCCAAGGTAAAGGATTCTGACAAGATAAAGCACGACGACACCCTGGGCAGCGTCCAACTCCAGCGACCCAGTTGGTGATCCGTTGGGGCATGACACAACACCCCAAACCCTAAACCCCCAACCCTAAACCCTAAACCGCCATTTCCAGTAGCGCCCTAGGCCACCACAGTCAAAGCATTATGACGCGGGGCTTGTGACTCAACAAAAGTGCATCTAGAGACTGCTCAGAAATTCATAGTGGTTAGGTTTAGGGGTTGGGGAAGTTTAGGGTAGTTTACTGTAGTTCGGGTTTAGGGTTTGGGGTAGTTTGGGTTTAGGGTAGTTTAGGGTTTAGGGTTTACAGGTCTTGCTGGGAGCTTGTTGATCTAGAGCTCGGGGAAGATGCTGGCTGACAACCAGTAGCTGTTGTCAGGGCCCCAAGTGTTAAATCATGTTGCGTGTACAGCATAGACAGCAGTTGCTATGATATCATGGTGCAGTATATGTTGTATCTTTGTATATGGTTTTAGATACCATGAATCATATTGTAAACAGATCGCGCATCCAATCCTAACGAGGGTGCCCCTCTTGTCGAGAGATGTGTTCCCCTCCCCTTACTATGAAAGCTAACCCCCCCTGCCCCCTAATATTTCTATGTATCGAGGGCCCTAATTCCCGCATTCCCTGCTAAGAAACGGTTTATGTACCTAAATAGGGTGTACTTGGGCCTGAGAGCACCTTATAAGGACTGTGGGGCCCAAGTATATAGTCATAAGGTACATAGACCCACGAAAATAGGGGCCCCTCAAGTTTAGATCCCCAAACAGTAGGATTCCCTTACGACCCCAGCAAGGTACCCCGAATTTAGGAAACCCACATTTTTTGGGTGGAGCGGGTTAGGCATCTGGCGTGACTCTCGGGATTTGGTCGGTTCAGGCCTGCCTTGGTTGGCATTAGGATTTAGGGTTTAGGGTTTAGGGTTTAAGGTTTAGGGTTTAAGGTTTAGGGTTTAGGTTTAGGGTTTAGGGTTTAGGGTTTAGGGTTAGGGCCCTGCCAGCCCAGGACGGCACAGATAATTCCTCACGGATACGAGGGCGATCTGAGGCTACGAAACACAGGCGCCCGAAAACCAGCAAGCAACATGCGGTTGCAGCTTCAGCAGGTCCATGGATGCTGCTTGAGTTTGGGGTTTTGGGTTTTGGGTTTAGGGTTTAGGGTTTAGGGTTTAGGGTTTAGGGTTTAGGGTTTAGGGTTTAGGGTTTAGGGTTTAGGGTTTAGGGTTTAGGGTTTAGGGTTTAGGTGCACCTCAACTAAGCCTGCAGTCGATGCGCATCTGGACAATAAAGCGCAGTCCCTATGCAGGTGGGAAAAAAGTATCACTAGTTCCCCGACTACTTCCCCGGGCGCCATGAAACGGTAACCTTTCAGGCAGTCCTTGCACACATTTGCACTGACCCTAAACCCTTCGGGGATCATCCGATAAAATTGGAACGATGCAGAGAAGACTAGCATGGCCCCTGCGCAAGGACGACACCCACAAATCGAGAAGTGTACCAAGTAGAATGGTGGTGGTTGTATTGGCCGCCTTATGCGGCCTCCTACGCTTCTGGGGGGTTGCCATGCCGCTGAAGCCCACGGGAGTCAAGCGAATCAGATCGCGGAAGAGGATGGAGTACAAAGTGGTTCTTGTATCGGTCTAGCTTGGGGTCTGCCGGTGCGCCATCCCGCTCCGCCCTCAGTGCACACCTACTGTTTCCCCGACTTGACCCTGCCGAGTGGCCCCCTGAGCTCAGCTAGGCGGGTGGCAAAAACCTAAAGCCCTCTTGCTCATCTGCGCAAGCAGGTCACAAAGATCCAGAAAAAACTCCTACCTTTGTGACTCGGACAGATTCGCTTTATTTCACGTTTGCTTTGGGGTACCCTCAAAATTAAGGTCCGCCTTATATTCGAATTCCCCAAAGGAACATGGATGTAGCATTATAGGGCCTAGTAGCCCATCCCCAAAGGAACCGTATTTTACAGAAGTGACCATATGAATGTGGAGGTAGAGCAACCGCCCAGCAACGTGCTTAAGAGCACCTGCACGTTAGCTGTTTTGACTACGGGGTATATCCGGGGTACCCTTTTAAGGGGCCATGTAACTACCCTTAGTTGCTCTCCGACATCCGGTCTTGTTTTGCGGGAGTCTAGGCAGCGCCATGCTGTAGCAGGTGCCCATCACTAGGTAGACCCTTAGGATATTGTTTTCCCTTATTGGGGTTAAGAGGACCATACTCCGGAATATTTTTTTCAGAGCCCTAAACCCTAAGGCCATCCTAGATCAATTACAAGAGGCCCTAGAAGAGAGCTCACAGCAAAGGTGGCCCTCAAAAGGCAGGGCAGAATTCTGGACTCAGGGCCTTTTGGCGGGGTTCACCTCCCCCCAAATGAAGGAAAGACCCCTACGCCCGGAATCGCGTGTGTGATCGTTTGTTTCCTGTTGGTACTGTATCGAGTTTTCGTCAATGCTAATGGGTACGTAGTAGCGGGAGTGGTGTGGATGGTGGTCGTTGTGGTTGTAGTCGTCCTCGTAGTGTTCTCTCTCTCTCTCTATATATATATATACCATTATCAGTCTCAGCATAGACCGTGACCAGCTCAGTGCCAGCGCTCTTGTTATTGTGATTTTCCTTAAGCCTTAAACGTTAAACCTTAAACCTTAAACCCTAAACCCTAAACCCTAACCCTAAACCCTAAACCCCAAACCCTAAACCCCAAGAACCCTAAACCCTACCTACGGTCTGCCGAAACCCTCCGAAGCCTTGCCTGCCGTGTGCGAGTGTAAGAGTCGAAACCCTGAACCCTGAAACCACACCCCCCTTAGAAAATTGCCCTAAACCCTAAACCCTAAACCCTAAACCCTTGAAACCAAGGTGTCACTGAGCATCAAGGTTTTGGACCGTGCCTGTGCCGCAGTCGGGTTTTCATGACACCAAGCCTCAGGCTGAGCGTGGCTCCCGGGGTTTAGGGTTTAGGGTTTAGGGTTTAGGATTCAGGGTTTAGGGTTTAAAGGGTTTAAAGGGTTTAAAGGGTTTAAAGGGTTTAAAGGGTTTAAAGGGTTTAAAGGGTTTAAAGGGTTTAAAGGGTTCAAAGGGTTTAAAGGGTTTAGTGAAGTGAAATTTAGGGCTCCTTTTTCGGGGGCTTCTTCAATCGGAGTTCTTGCAATTGGGGAATGACTCGACTGTAGAACAACCCGCGCATGACATGCTGCAATGCTTCCTTCAACATGACCTCCTGTACCATGGAAGCTTCGCTTATCACGGAACCCAGTTCGTTTCCGTGGGTAAACAGGCTAGAAGCAGAATTTCCTTTCTGGGCTGCTGCAAGGAAAGCCGGTCTCGCGCAAATGAACGTCACCTGGCGGCAGTTTTGCAGGTTCTTATCCACAAGCGAGTTTATAGGGTCCTTAAGGGAAGGGGGTTCAAGGGGGGTATGTAGCCCAATACTCCCTACTACTCCCTAAGGCTCCCTAAGCTTCCCTAACACCTAGTTGAGGACCCAAACCCAAAACCCCAAACCCTTCAACCCCCCTTCCTTTAAGGACCCCAGAATGACTGGAGCCATGCCTCCTCTCTACGCCCTAAACCCCTCTTGAGGGTTCATGGATTTAGGGTTTAGGGTTTAGGGTTTAGGGTTTAGGGTTTAGGGTTTAGGGTTTAGGGTTTAGGGTTTAGGGTAGTTGTAAGTAGGGTTATAGGTAGGGCCAGCCTGTATCATGACCTTAATTCGGGCACTCTGAACCCTGCTGATCACTTCCTATGAACCTTCAAGCAAGAGCCAGGAAGTTGCCCTGGGTTTAGGGTTTAGGGTTTAGGGTTTAGGGTTCAGGTTTAGGGTTTAGGGTTTAGGGTTTAGGGTTTAGGGTTTAGGGTGCCTCCTTCCTTGAGGTCTCGTCGGATAGTTGGCGGCACCGCTGAGTTGCCCCTTCCCGGAGAGCAATGATGGGCCGAAGGCCCATCAGGAGTCTCACGAAACAGTTTTTCGGAGTGCCGGCAAAATTGCCAGGATCTTTGCTGGGCAGTGCTTTGGGATAGTTGGACATTTTCCCTTCTTTCCCTTTAAGGGAACCTATTCACAAGTAATTTTTCAAAGGCTTTTAAAGCACCACTCACCTCTTTTCCAATTAAGGGAACCTATTCAGAAGTAATTTTCAAAGGCTTTAAAGCACCGCTCAGTTTGATACATCTTTCAATTGGTATTTGGAGCGCCGTCGATGCTGCCACAAGTACGTCCGTTCGAAGAGCTTGGGATGTGGGTTTAGGGCTTGGGGTTTAGGGTTTAGGGTTTAGGGTTTAGGGTTTAGGGTTTAGGGTTGAATCCCAAGACGACCACGTTCAGTTTTTCGAAACGGACCACTTTGGCCTAAAAGGCCGCCATGGCGCATCAGACTTCCTGTCGCAATTGATTCTTCATGTCCCAGCACCTTTCAACCACTTTCGGGGCTGACCCCCAGACTTCCTCCGGACTCTAAGGGTTTAGGGTTTAGGGTTTAGGGTTTAGGGTTTAGGGTTTAGGGTTTAGGGTTTAGGGTTTAGGGTTTAGGGTTTAGGGCCCTGGAGCCCTATGGCCTTGGGAACCCTGCACCCGCTCGAATCCCAAAACGCTCGAGGTGCCGGTGCTGGGACGTGGCGAACGTCTCCGTTGTATGTTGGGCCCAGGGTGCTGCAGTAGGACGCATCGCTGAGCTTCATGTCGGGGTCTTGTTGACTCGGGGCTTGCTTGGAGGTTCATGGGTAGTTATAAGGAATGCAAGGTGACTTATATCATAACCCCAACTATGAGGTACGTCTAAGTCTGAGCCTACTCACAGTTATACACACCTGGCCATGAACCTCCAACTAGTGTTTAGGATACCTCTAAGTCATGAAACATGGGCGCCGCTGGCCCAACTCCTTTCGTGTCCAGGGCTACCTGGATCGGAGAGGAGGTGCGTGAGAGCACCCCTCTAGAGGCCTTAGAGGCTGGGTGCTCCAAGAGCAGCTGAAGCTAAGGTATATAGGGACTATATAAGGTATTCGTATATGTATATGTATATATATATATATATAATACAGAGATAT